AAAAAATAGTGGAAGTTCTCATCACAAGTCGGGAAGTTTTCTCGAAGCAATTACGACCACCCTCCGCAGCGACCAAGTACCACTTCTTAATGGGATTCCCCCAACGATGTTGCACCCCGACTTTTTGTAGCCTGCTGGTGAGCCTAGATCTCCTTTCCTTGGAACATAGTTACCCTATCTTCACAGTCACCCTGTCACACCCACTACCTTCGATGTATGGCCTCATTCCAGGGAAGCGCAGCCTAGTTATACAGCCATAACTTTATGAAAGTGTTTGTTTCCAGCTGGTCAGTTTGCTGATTACTTCCCTCCCCCGCAACACGCTACTTTAATTTTTACTGTTTGCTCAGTTACTCAAACAAGACTCATTCAAATGATGAGAGGTGATAACGAGTTCACTAGAGTCCAATAGACAGGTGAGTGTAAAAACAACACAAACGAGGCACCAAAATTTATTGCAAAAATACTGCAAGAATTCAAAAGAAAATCCAAAATTTTCTCATCTCGTTTTATTTTGCGAGAACTTTTGGACTCTTTTGGATTTTTGGAGTTTTCTCCAACAACTTTTAATGCCTCTTTCGTATTTTTTTACATTCAGATTGTAATGAGAGACCGAGACAGCACTATACTCAGACAGGCAAGTATTTAAATTTAGTCCGAAGGCCGCAATGAGAAAGATTTTAACCCATAAGATAGCCCTTTCACTGACTATGCGTTGCTATTTACTAGAAAGTCGGTGGAACAGAGAACACGAAGCGAAGTGAAACGAAGGTGGAAATAGCCGCGGTCAGCTAGCTATCAACGCCTCTGACCAAAAAACGCGAAAGGCGCTATTTATCGGACCTGTTTAAGTGACTAACACAGACTTGTTTGGTGCCTAACATGATCATGAAGAAGTTGACTAATCAGTAGAACAATTAGGGGGAAGCACAAGAAGTTCACTTGGCAAGAGAGGTGCTAGATTCGAACGTGACGCAACCAGGGCACGCCATCGTTGCGATGATCACAAGGGGGAGGGGGCGTATTTGGTCTGAAAAAATTTTTTTGGTAGTTGATTTCTCTTTTTTCACGGACGCTATAAAGGGGGAGGGTGTCGTATTTCGTCGTTA